GTCGAAGTCTGGTGGGTGTGTCCAATATGTGAAATTGACGATGGAGTCGCTGTCGGCGGTGCCTTGGTCTGGAACGAAATCAAGAACGAGGACGTTGTTCTTCAAGACTGCCTTGCCAATGTAGAGTCCACCTCTCCCGTGGTACAGCTTGAACTCCTGGATGGTGCTGTCTGCTTCGAGATGGATTCCCTTCGCCATTGGTTGACTGACGCTGAGTAAGTTATAGCCGAATCCTTCTGCGATTAAAACCTTTAACATCTGCAGAATAACGTTGGTTTCTTGAGACTGAAGTTGAACTATCCCTTGTCGTTGTGTGCGCAGGTTCTGTTTATTGGCGACAGTGATTATGACCTCGCGTTGAAGTTGGTGTTCCCGTTGAACGAAGCAACCCGAGGAGCACATGTGTTGTCCGCAGCAGCTATCCAAGAACCAGGTGTCTTTCCCGGATGGCTTGCTCCGGGCGATGGCTGCGTACGTCGGATTCGGCTCAATGATTCACGGCGAGGGGTGCTTTCGTCGATCTGTTCTTCTGGTGAGTAGTATGGTGGTGATCCGGTGATGCAGGAGTCTGTTGTTCTTGCCATGCAACTTACAATGTTTCTTGCACCTTGCGCAGGTTTTGTCGTTGATGTCGTTGAGGACTGTACTTGACTGGTGGGATGCGCTTTTGTAGAAGTAACTTGACTACTTGAGAACCGAAGTTCACGTTGCGGCGGCGTTGACTGCTGCTGATTTGGGCAGTGTGTGCGAGGGTGTCCTGACGTCTTGCAGAGATGGCAGAACGGCGGTACGTACTGTTGAGCTTGATGTTTGTTCTGTCGATTATTGTTGCTGTTGTAGCGCCATTGAGTGTGAAACGCGAACTCTGGTGCTGACGCTCTTTTCTTGTGTCGTTCTTCGTGTAGGTCCATGTCATGCTGTTCAGCATGAATTTCAACGCAGAGTGTTGCTTCGGAGATCTTTCCGCGAGATCGGAGGATAGCTCGAGTGGAGCGCCAATGAGGACCGAGGCCAGAGATGACAACTGTCACGATGGCTTCTTCGGATATTGATCCTCCGCATCGAAGGAGTCTGTTGCGTAGCCTGCGACAACGGCTGATATACGCCATCCCCTTTTCGTTGGGTTTCATTTCCACTGTTGTCAGCTGTGCCATGAGACGACTTTGATTAACACTGTCTGTTGCTTGATACAGGTTCTTTAGGTGGTTGTACGCGAGCTCGGCGGAGTTGCCGTATCCACGATAAGACGGGATGTTCTGCTGCTCATTCGCCGTTATATTCCGTAGCAGGATTGTGTACGCCATCAGCGACTGATACGTGTTTTGCTGCTTGTCGTTCAGTGTTCCGTGCATTGGGTATGGCAGGGATCCGTCAAATAATCCGAGGATTTGCGCGCCTTCCATCATCAGCTCAAACTCAAATGACCAGGTATAAAAGTTTTTGCCGCCGAAAGGTGTCGATGTCTGCAGTTTCAAGACGTGCCCGAATTGCGATTGTACCTGAAACGCGTCCATTGTCTTTTCTTGTCCAGGTGAAGGCTGCTGGTGTGGCATGAAGCTTATGGAGCCACGTTGAGGCTCGTACGGAGCAAAGGTGGGTTGCTGCTGGTTTCCGTGCGCACAGGATGAGCCGTCGAGGCTCATTGGAGTAACGCCGTTGTTGTTGTCGCTGTTGCTTGATTGCGCAAGTGCTGTTTGCTGGTGCTGCTCGTAGAAGGACATGAAGGAGAAGAATTTATTTATCATACTTGGGTCGAAGCCTGTTGCCTGGTTCGCAGGAGTTTCAGTAGACTCAGCTGCCGGTCTTGTTGCCGTGCCTCCCTCTGTCTGTAAGCCAGAGGCTAGAGGTGAAGTAGAAGTATTGCCGGAAGAGCCGTTAGAGGAGCTTCTCTCCTTCTGTGTTGCCATGTCTTCTATTGTTGTAGGTGTGTTAATGGAGTTGGATCTTGCCTTGTGAGCTCTCATACCATGTTGGGCTGAGAAAAGCCCTTAGGATCTTTTCAAGGCTAAGACCCTGAATAGGAAAGTTGTAGTTGCGGAAGCGTTCTTAGTTAACTTGTTGAACCAACTTGCACTAGTGTGTGAGAGCAAGATATTGAGTATAGCAAGGTAATACACAGGGATTTGATAAGATTACAATAAATATGAAAGGGTGCAACTAACTGTTTTGCTGTTGCGGTTCGATACAGTGACGACTCGGGCAACTGCTCAATACCGAGTCATTTGTTTGTCCTTGCTGTCGCGCTGTATTTCGTCGAGTCAAGGGTCGCTGATCTTTGACCTTCGCGTAACCTCCAGCTGTTACTTTATGTCAACCTCCTCGGTTGACTCGCCGTTGCTCCACTGTGATTCACCTCGTTTGCAGTCTATTGTTTCAACACAACAGGAGCGTTAAATTACTTGTTTCCAATAGTCACAACGTACACACGCGCGTGCGTCATCCATGGTATTATTCAGGTCGGTAATAGCTGAGGCTGTTGCATCCGAGTCCGACCATTTGGTAAGGAAATGAAACAATAATGCTCTATTTGCACGTACTTCGTCTCTTTCGGAAACTGGTCGTAAAACTAATTTAAGCTGGGCCGGGGTTCACTATCAATTTTCCATGCCGCTTCATAAGAGGTTTAGAAGTTATCAACTGGCATGCGGAGTAGGCTACACGTCACCAACATTAGTACAAGGCTGAAGCGAATGCTGTGTATGTATGTGTGTATGCGCACATATGTGTGTCAGAAGTAGCAGTACAAAGTTTAGGAACAGAAAGAGTGGTTTCACTAGCAGCAGTTGGGATACATATAGCAAACCCTAACTGGGTTGTACCCGCTATAGAGCACCCCACTACAGGCTAGATAATAACATTCTGACACACCCCCATAGCCAAAGTGGGGTGTAATCAACACAATGAGCAGGCATAGCAGGAGTTCACAATAATAAGCAAAGCTAGAGGTAATCACAGCGGGCAAGTGAGGAGGAGGAGGAACTGTGGAAGGAGAGAAGATGGGAGGCAACGACTGAAGCTGCAGAGGCACGGGCACAGGAGCGGCTGACTTAGTGGCTACCGAAGCAAGGGCGACGGACTACTGGAGTGACTGGCTCTGCGGCTAAGACGAGCGGCAGGAGCAACGGACCCACTGGCGACTGGTGCAACAGGCTCACTGGCTACCGAAGCAAGGGCGACGGACTACAAGCGCTGCAGGCTACACGACAGCTATCTCCACACAACCTCCTCCAACTGACCCACACCCTTGACACACACCCCCTGCTAAACCCCTAACTCCACTCCCACGTCACCCCCCTAGCGCCATTCCCCTCGGCTCCCACACCTCCACCCCCCTCAGCAGCAGCTGCAGCAGAGGGAGACGAACAAGGAGGTGGGGAGAGGGAAGGGGAGTACCCACACCGCGCACCCCCATGCTCGCCACCCCACACCCCCCACCACCGCGGAACGCACGGCGGCACGGGAGGAATGGGCAGCACGGGGGGGGGGGGGGACGGTACAGGAGGGGCCGCGCGTCTCTCCTCAGGGCGCCAAAACGGACGGGCGAGGGGGCGCGCGCGGCTCCCCAGGGCGCCGCGACAAGAAGGGCGGGGGCCGCGCGTGCTCCCCAGGGCGCCGCGACGAGCAGGGCGGGGGCCGCGCGCGGGTCCCCAAGGCCGCGCGACGGGCAGACGGGCCGCGCGCAGTCTGCAGGCCCGCGCACGGCCGGCAGGGCGACGCGACGGGAAGGGCGGGGGGCTGCGCGCGGGTCCCCCACGGTAGGAAACCGCCGCGCGCCTCGGGGTGCACGGCGGGCAGAAAACCGCCACGCGCCCCGAGCGCACGGCAGACAGAAAACCCTAAAAAAAAATTCGCGGCAGGAAGAAGGCGTCGCACGCCACGGGGCGTGCAACAGAGAGAGTAGCAGCGGAAGCAGTTAGGTGGTGGGCCCACCCACAGGATCGACCCAAGGGGGTCGACCTGCTCTGAAACCATGTCAGAAGTAGCAGTACAAAGTTTAAAAACAGAAAGAGTGGTTTCACTCGCAGCAGTTGGGATACATATAGCAAACCCTAACTGGGTTGTACCCGCTATAGAGCACCCCACTACAGGCTAGATAATAACATTCTGTCAATGTTTGTATGTGCGTATGTGTGTTTATGTGTGTGTGTGCATGCGCGTGCGTGCGTATGTGTATGTGCGTGTGTGTGCGCGCGCATGCGTGTGTGTGTGTGCGCGCGTGTGTGTGTTTTGTGTATGTGTGTGTGTGTGTATGTGTGTGTGTGTGTATGTGTGTGTGTGTGTGTCTTGTTGTTGTTTGTTAGTTTTATATTTCCTTTTTCTTCATCATTGTTTCATGTAGCATGGGAAGTTTGCAAGTCATTTGAACGATTGTTCTTCAGGATTGTAGCTATGTGCATGAAAATCCTGGCAGGGTGACCAAAGCGCACACCTGCAATTGGTTCTAGATTTTGCCCGAAATAGTTACCCCATTGACACAAGCTTATTTCATCCAATGAGTGTCAGGAATTTGTGGGAAACAGTTCGCTTAAATTCGTTGTTCTGTCCACGACCCGCTTAAATCCGTTTGGCTGCTGCTTCTGCTTGTTTTTCCCCTCCCCGATTTTTCCAGGTCACATACAGCGCCGATCTGCTCCTCGCGCCCTGCTTTCGTCCGCTTTCTGCCGCCCCACCACTCCACGGTTTTTCCTCTTGCTACGCCCTGCTCGATCTCCCTCCCAACTCCCTTCCCGATTCTTCGACTTCCGCATTTTCGGAACTTTGTCACGTCAATCTCTCCCCCGTCTCGTTTTCGTTCCTCTGATTCGTGCCCATTTCTATCCCGCTGCTCGTCCACATGTCGGAACTTCCAGACGCTTCCGACACCATTCGCTGCGCTTCCGTCTCGCCCCACTGACCCACGTCATCACTTCTTTTTTTTGTTCCCAGGTCACCCTGAGCCGGACTCAATCTTTTCCTTCTGCTGTGAGCTGTTGCGTCCCTACCTCCCCACCTCTTGCCAGATGGCAGGACGTGGAACCCGCCGCCACTCTCCCAACCACCCGCTCTCCATCGTGCTACTTTTCACTCCTTACCCGCCTTCCGCCTTTCGCCGTGCCCCCCCTCTCCGCTCTGATTTCATGAGAGAGCGGCTGGTTTTGATGTGCTCGTGCCCCCCCTTTTGTACAATCCCCTCCCTCCCTTGCCCTCGACGCTCCTTTGTGCTTTCGCCCCCTTCTCCTTTCACAATTCCTTTTGCCTCCTGCTCTGGAATCTTCTACCCACCTGACTCGGATTGCCGCCTAGGCTCCGAGTCTCTTATTTGGGGAATCTATGGCCGCTGCCTATGCCCCCTTGCCATCGAGAATGGCTCGCGCTTGCCTAACCACTCCTGGACTTCCATTCTAGCTTCTAGAAGCTACGGTGCTGCCCCCACTTGCTGTGGCCTCCCACCTTTCGGACGTTCTAGCCTAGATTCATCACGCCATCCCCCCCTCTCCCACTTTCCGTGCTCTTCCCCATTACCCCGCCCCAGACACCCCCAGATCTGCCGAGTCGCCCCACCCCTGAGTTGGGAAGTTAAATACGCACGCCTCTTTGACACTTATCATCCTTCCTCCAGTTTTATTCCCGCCCCCCTCAATCCGTCCCTCATGGCCCCCCCGACTCACAATCCGGACGACGAAATGTCCCTCGTTGACGAGGACCTCCAGCTCGACGGTGAGGAGCTCCATCTCGACGAGCTCCCTGCCATCACTCTTGCTCCCTCTCCCGCAGCTGACGAGACCCCGGCGGCAAAAAAGGTTTGCGTGGGGGCCCCTCCGTCTGCGCCTGGCCCCTCGGCACCAGCTAACAATGTCCCTGTGGTTTTTGCTCCCGCCCCGACCGGCGCCGCGTCTGGCTCCCCTGCGGGCGTCCGTTTCTCTGCAATCGCTGCTCCTTCTACGCCCTCTGTTCTAAACAGGCCCCCCAGCCCGACTACCCCCCTGGCTAGCGCCTCTCAGGGAGCTGGCATCGTCTTGACGGCCCACGCTCCTGCTCCCGCGCCGACCCGCAACCTGCGTCGTCCGAGGCCCGGCCCTGTCATGCCCCACCACCGCCTTGCAGTTGTCTCGCTGCTCATGCCCGAGGCGGGCGCTGACGCCATCCGCGCCGACCTCATCGCTCGTATCACCGCCATGCTGAAGCCGCACTTTTTCCGCCGCGGTTCTGTCCCAGAGTTTGAAGTTGCCACCGGCGAGGCGCTCCGGGTCCCGCGCCGTGCCTACGCACGGCTCTGCTTCTCTTGGCCGACGGAGGAGGAGGCCGATGACTTTAAGCGACTCTTCCCCCGTTCCATCTCTCTGAATTCCTCCCGCTCTGTGCTTCTGAAGGTGTTTGAGGACCGTAACCCGGGCTTCACAGCTGCCAAAGCCGGGGGAGCTGCCACGCTGTCGCTCCGTAACATTCCCCCGGGGTACACCCCGGAGGATGTCCACGATTTTCTGCTGAACGGTGCGGATCCGTCCGAACCGGGCTGGCTCGCGGATCTTCAGTTCTTTCATCGCACGACCGATCCGTACGAGGAGGTGTTCCTGCCCGTTTTCACCGGCATCCCTCTCCCCCTCCCGGATGACCCGTCGTTCTCCCGCATCCCGGCGGTCATCCCGTTTGAGGACGGCTCCCCTCCTGCCCTGCTCAATGTTTCCACCCACGTGTGTGCCTTCTGCGGGAACAAGCATCGTGACTCCGATCACGAGACGTTCGCTTTCAAGCGCAAGCAGCGCCTGAACAACAAGGCTCATATCTGTGTTGCTCAGTTGCAGCAGACCAACGGTACGCCCTTCTGCCCTGCCCTCCCTTTCCCCTTTTCGCCCACTCACCTGCTTGTTTTCTGCTGCCCCCGGCTCTCTGTCTCTCTCGCCTCCAGTCTTGCAATCGTTTCTTTTCCCCTGGCCACTTTGCTCTGCTCTGCGATCGACATGCTCCGTCCTTTCGACCCCCTCCTTGCTATCTTCTGCCCCTATACTGCTCCCCCTTGCCCCCTCCCCCCCCCTTTCCCCCCTTGCTCTCGAGGACTTCCATCCTCTGGTCTCTGCTGGCCTTTCCCCTGTGTCCCCCGTTGCGAACCTCTCCAACCCATTCTCCCCTCCCCTTACATCCCCCCCCCCTTTCATCGCCTTCCACCGCGTTGATGCTGCAGATTTCCAACTCTCAGCCCCCCCTCCCATGTACTCGCCTTCCCGTGCTCTCCCACCATGGGATCCATCCACAAGCCCCTTCTGTACAACCCCCCTCTGCCCCCTCCCGGGCCGCCCCCCCTGTACCTCACTGCCTTACGCTTACATGGCTTCACTGTCTCACCCTCCTTGCGCCCTTCCTCCCTCGATTTGCCTCTTCGCTACCTCCCCTTTCCCGCCCCGTTCTCCTTGCACTTCCCCCATGGGCCTGCCCCCTCACTTTACACCCGCAACTCCAGCCCCTCTCTGCCTCCCTCGCTCGTGATCACCTTCTGGCCTCTGGATTTGGCATGCTTTCCTCCTGTGCCCCCCACTGCCCTCTCCTCCCATGCCTCCCCTTCCCCCCCCCTCTTCGCAATCAGGCTGCCTCTGACTCCTCAACCGCGGCCCTCCCTGACAGGCCTCTCTTTCCACACTCCCCCAATACGCCCCTGCCCTGGCCCACGGCTCCCCTCTGTCACCTATGCCCGCGCCTCTCCCTCACACAGGGCACCCCCGCCCTTTTGCTTTGGCTTAACTCACTTCTGTTCCCCCTCCGGGTCTGTCCCGTTTTCCTCCCCCCCTGCTTTCCCCATGGCGGCCTTCTGGCCGCCCATGCTTCGGCCCATGGCCACTCTTACCTTCATCGGCAGAACTTCAGTCCCCTCTGCCTCCCCCCATTCTCTCTTTCTCCCCCTTGTTCCCCCCCCGCCATCTCGCCTGCTCCCCATCCATACCGCCCCTCCTCTTCCCAGGTCAACTGCTCGGGGCACGCCCGGCTGCCAACGAATTCCGCAAGGACCCTGGCCTCTTGTTTATCGGGCTCGAAACCGAGATCGAGCCCTTGACCTGCGTCCTCTGCAACTTCGCATGCGGCCCTGCCCTCGACTCTGCCATGGTGCACATGGCCTCCGAGGCGCACACCTCCAACCTGCGCGCAGCTGCCAAGGGCCCCTGCTGCGAAGGAAAAGTACAGCAACTGGAGGGCCCTTACGTTCCTGGATATCCCCTAGATCGGTTCATTCCTCTCCCAGTGACTTCAAACCGCTTATGTGTTCTTGCCTCATGCCCCGTCGATTATCAACCATGCCATAGAAAGGTTCCTGCTATGTACTTTCAAGTTTGTCTAATATATCTGCCAGGAACTTTTCATCACACGTGCCACCTTGCCCATTATTGTTTTAGTGCTTTGCTTGCTATGAATGCTAAGCTACTGTGGCTGCACTCTCTCCCGCCCCACCTACTGAGCATCTCAATTAAAACAATCACTCTATCACCATTGTTGGTGCAACCCTACGGTTTGCACTCGGCTTGTCCGTGTGCGTGAATGCGTGTGTGCATGGAATGGTATGAGGGCATGGGATAATATATATTTCATGCTTATAATGGTGTGTGAATGATGGGTCATGATGTCGAGTGTGTGTGTCAAGTCAATAGCGAATTATCGCTAGTCGCGTGTAACGTGGTCATTTTGTGTGTCCCACGCGGTTTCTATTTTGTCGTGCGCGGTTTCTATTTTGTCGCTTGTCGAACGTTCGGCATGTCGCAGGTGTGTGCAGCAGACCCATCAAGAACTCGAGGATGAGTTTTTGATGAAGAACCCGAGCCTTGGTTGCAAGCTTCAAGTGATTTCGAAGCTCGCCAAAAGGGTACACCTCAAGATATTGAAGATAGTTACATTACTTTGTGTAGTGTAACATTTCAGTTGGTGTAGGCCCTTGTGAAGGGTAGTTTCGAGACCCTTCTTGGTTGGGGACAGTGTGGCACTGTTACACATCACTGTACCTCGGCTCTTGGGGTTTGTAGGAGGTGGGAGTCATTCCCAACTCGTAACTCTTCCTAACTCTTCCTATTGTGTGTTCTAAGACTATGTTGCTGCCATAGTGCCGTTCGTTCAAACCGACGCTGTGTCGTCAATTCTTGATGAAATCGTGCGATCTAAATAGCCTATTGTAGACAACGTTAAGGCGCTCCAGATCCAAGTTGAATGAAGTCATTTGGAGTTGTGAGCAGATCGCTATGACCGTTTAAAGCCGTTGTGCAGAAATCCGACTGTGCACTCTATCTTTCGTTTTAGGCACATTGGAGCCTACTGTGTCTATAACAAGTGGTATCAGAGTCCCTTGGAGCAGTTTCGACAATTGCTGGACCTGAGGAAAGGGGTGGCAGAGGTGCTGGTGGCAGTGGAGAAGCCCAAGCTCAAGGCCAACCCCGTGATTCAGCCATGGCGCCCGTGCAACCAAGTGTTGGCCCATCTAGGGACGAGCCTAGAGTGTTTGGCCTTGACAAGTTCAACGGTGACAACTTTGCTGAGTGGTCCTTCAAAATAGAGAACGTATTTGACCACTACGACCTGCTGGAGGTGATGGAAGGAATGGAGAAGCGCCCCGAGAACGACCTGGAGAAGAGCCCGTGGGTGAGGAAGAGCGCACAAGGCTACCTCTTACTTGGGCAAGCGTTGGGGAGCAGCCAGATCCGTCACATCAAGCCATTCCAGCGTGATCTAGAGAAGAGACCAAAGGCATGGGCTGCTCTCAAGGGTGTACACGCTCCTGCAACAGCGGCGGTAGCTGTGGTGTTGGAACGGCAAATTGCGACGCTACGAATTGAAGAAGATGAACCCGTGGAAGAAGGGGTGCAGAAATTCTTCGACTTGTTGACGCGGCTTGAGGGAGCTGATTTGAACTACAGTGAGCTCCAAAAGAAGACCAAGTTCAACTACTCCCCGAGTCATGGTCCTCGCTCATCATCAACCTGAATCGCGACTTGCCCCGCCTCTCGCTTGAAGACGTGAAGCGAGCTATCCTTCAAGAGGACTTCCGCCGCCGTGAGTTGGCGAGTGCGGATGGCGCTGGGGCAGCGAGCGTCGGCCGTGGATATGGCTGAGAAAGAGGCAAAGGACGAGGGGGAGGAAGGTTTGGTGGCAGCAACTTCGGCGGAGGCCGCGGGAATGGCGGTTACGGCAGCGACGACAAGAGTTACGGTGGCGGACGCGGACGATTTGACGGCGAATGTCACTATTGCGGCAAGAGCGGACATATGTGGCGCGATTGCTTCAAACTCCCTGATGGTTGGACCCTTGCTCAAAGCCAAGAGGGTAGAGGAGCAGGAGGAGGGAGAGGAAGAGGCCGTGGAGGCCGTGGCGGTTGCGGAGGTGGTGCTGCAAATGTGAAGAGCGAAGATAACGACAAGGACCCGAGCGGCGATCGGTACCCGGGCCTATTCTACTTCGTGTCGACGCAAGTACCGGCTGGTCCAGAGAAGAACGAAGGCTTTGAGGAGCCAGCAGCAGTAGGGAAGGTGACCCTACACCCCCTGGACTATTGGGTGATCGACAGCGGCACTACCTACAGCATGACACCTCGCCCGGACTTGCTCACCGAACTTGAACCGTCACCGGTGAAGCATGTCACATCGGCTTTGGGGCAGCGAGCAGAGGTGAAAGGCATGGGGAAGGCCATGTTCAAGGGTGCTGATGGGAAGATGGTGGGCCTCAAGAACGTGCTTTGGGTGCCCAGCCTTGCTGCAAACCTGATTTCCGTGCGGCGGTTGGCAAAGGCCGGCATGGACACGAACTCGAAGGGAGCCAAGACCTACACCGCGAGGCTTGGCGAGCGGATTCTTTGGAACCTCCATGAGGACAGGGATGTCTACAACGAGATGTGGCAGATCCCTATGGTCCCTATGCCTAAGGAGAGGCAAGTGGCAGCAAGCGTCAGCACCAAGGGTGAAGCGGTTGGTAGCGGCGATGGCGCGAACGGTCGCGCTAAGGAGAATGAGCCCGAGAAGGGCAAACCTGGAGGGACCAGCAAAGCTGATGTGAACCTAAGGAGAGTGGTGCAGCAGCCAAGGAGCAGCACAAGGGTGAGGAGAACCCCGAGGCAGCAGCAGAGGAGTACAGAGAGAGCATGTGGGGCGCTATTGCGAGCGCGGCATTCTCTAATCCGACTTCGGCTACGGGGGAGTGTGATTGGCTCACCTTGCATCGGCGAATTGGGCATGTGGCCCTACCCATCTTGCAGCAGCTAGTGAAGAACCAGATGGTTGCTGGCATACGTGTGAAGGGGGAGCCCGATGAGGTGCTTGGCTGCCCGACGTGCATGCAAGCCAAGTTCACCCGTTTCCCGTTCTCTAATTCGGAGGCAACGGCAAAGGCACCACTTGATGAGGTGGTGATGGACGTGGTGGGCCCCCTGAAGCTTGGAGCTGCTAGTGCAGAGTATTTCTTCACCATAGTGGATGTCTACACCCGCATGACGTGGGTGTACGTGCTGGCCAAGAAGAGTGACGTGGCTGAAACGTTGAAGACGGATTGGTTCCCGATGGTGGATCGACAACAAGACCGTCTAGTCAAGTCAATTCGCACCGATCGAGGGGGAGAGTTCCTGAGCAAGGAGTTTGGGTTGTGGCTGAAGAAGAATGGCATTTAGCACTCCCTCACCATGCCATACTCCCCTGCAATGAACGGCATCGCCGAGCGAGCGAACCGGACGATCACGGAGGCGGCACGCGGGTTGCTCATTGAAGTCGGGCTACCCGATTACTTCTGGCCTGATGCGGTGCGGAGCGCGTCTGTGGCCAAGAACAGAGTTTTGACTCATGTGGGAGCAGACAAATGGGTGCCCTATGTGGAGTGGCTTGGAAGGAAGCCAAAGGTGGATATGCTTCGGGTGTTTGGGTGCATGTGCATGGCGCTCGTGCCTAAGCATCTTCGGCACAACAAACTTGGTGCCAAGGCGGTGTGGGTTGTGCACTTGGGCATGGCTCAAAACAGCAAGGGGTGGCTTCTTTGGGACCCATTCACCAAGAATTTCATGGTGAGCAGGGACTGCAAGTTCATGGAGAACTTCATGTACAAGGATTGGAAGGCGGAGAATGAGGCGAAGATAGGCGTGCGGTTTGGGGAGGTGAAGAGTTCCAGGTTGGAGCATGTGGAGCTGCCTTTGGAGCTGAGCAGCGGCAGCACCACCACAAGGCAATCCTCCCTTGTGAATGGGGGAGAGGAGGCTAGGGATTCAGAGGAAGAAGAGGAGGAGGTGCAGCAAGTGAGCGAGCGTGCATCGACACTTCCTTCCCGCACTACGAGCACTCCACGGAACCGAGCCACACCGCAGCAACGCCAAGGCCTTCAAGTCCCTGCAGCTGAGGAGGAAGGAAGGGGGAAGAGGAGAGTTCAACCCCCTAATCGGCTGACCTATGATGCACCGGGGAAAGCAGGGCAAGACAGCCCTGGCCGGAGCGGCAATGATGGTCGGAGACGACGAGGAGAGTGACTACGAGGAGTGTGGCCTTCGCCTTCTTCTCTCCGGTGGAGATGCCGGGAGAACCAGCAACTCTCAAGGAGGCCTTGGAGAGTAGTGATGCTGAGGAGTGGAAGAAGGCAATGGAGAGTGAGCTGAAGAGCATCGAGGAGAACGACACGTTTGAGTTGGTGGAGCTACCGGAGGGGCGATTACGTCCAAGTGGCTCTTCAAAATCAAGTCGGATGCCGACGGCAAGATCGAGCGCTACAAGTCTAGGCTTGTAGCCAAGGGGTACCAGCAGAAGGAGAAGGTGGACTTCAAGGAGCTGTTTGCTCCTGTGGTGAAGCCGACGACGCTGCGAACCCTATTCGCGGGAGCCGCCATCAAAGGATGGGTGGTAAAGCAAATGGACATCGTAACGGCATTCCTTAACGGCATCCTTGAGGAGGAGATTTTTATGGCGCAGCCAGGAGGGTTTGACGATGGCAGCGGCAGAGTGTGGAAGCTGAAGAAGGCTCTGTATGGGCTGAAGCAGGCCACTATGCAATGGTATATGAAGCTGCGCGAAGTGTTGGAGGGGATCGGCTTCACTCCCTCAACGGCCGATCACTCCTTGTTCATGCTTGGCGAGGGGGAGCAGAGGAGCTTCATGGTGGTATACGCGGACGACATCCTGATCTTCTCCCCCTTCTTTGACCTTGTGAATGAGGTGATGCTGAAACTTCAAGACAGGTTCAAGTGCAAGTCCCTTGGGGACGTCAACTTCTACT